AGGAAAGGAAAGGAAAGGAAAGGAAAGGAAAGGAAAGGAAAATTGGTTAAAAAAAACTTTTGAAAACAAAATGTTTCAGCTTCTTCTGGGTTGTTTTGGTCTTTAATCCTATTTTAAGGGTGAAGCCAAACTAAATTTCAAATATTAATGAAATAATACAGAAATGAAAGAATTAACACATTCAAAAGAGTTCTTCCTTTTATTTCCATTCAAAAAACAGAAGTGATCACAGCTTGTGGATAGGCTGTCATTTTGGAACTGTGCCTCTTGCCCAGTACATTTTAAATCCTCAGAATTGTACTGGGCTTGGTGGTGCATTTGTTGCTCTGTTGGCTGCCTGTATTCCATCAATGTGTCCTGCATATGTCCTGCATAAAATTAACTGAGGGTAAAAGTTGCAAATACTTCACTAGAGTTAATGAAAAGGCTGGAGAATGGTGTGACCAAAGTAACCAAAATCAGTGATAGCAGAGAACCCAGGTAATTAGAGTTGTGCTTCAGGGAATGCACTCCATGGCTGCTTGGTAAGAAGGAAGTTTTCCCAGACTTAGGTGAGCAGCACTGTGGAAATTACCCTGAGTTCCTTGTGATTTATTGCTGGGATGTTCCAACAATGTTCTGGAGCTAATTGTGCCTCCCACAGCTGTGCTCTCACTGCACAGCCATTGTGGGGAGATGCCTTTACTGATACACAAAAAATTCCTGTTGAGGCTGTGCGAAATTCAGAGGTGGCATGTGACATGGTGTGACTTACAGAATGGAGCACCAATGGCAGGAACAGAGGGGATCATTTGGCTGATAAAAACATGCCTTTAAAGTACTTTTTTTCCTTTAAATATCAGTCGTGCTTCTTCCCCTCAGTGGAAAAAAAGCACAAGACCATGACATTGACAGTGCTCACCTGTGGTCAAATACCCTGCTCCTCTTGGAGGCTTGTTCTGGAACATGAATTTTCCAGACAGGTTTAGATACAGCAGATCCTGCATGTAATGGTCAAAGCCAGCCTCAGCAGAAGGTCACAGATGGATCTGTAAGTTCTGTCAGCACCTAAAATAATGTGATTCCAAGCCACAGGATAAATCTGCATCCCATGAATGAATTCTACCATTGATTTTTTAAGGGAATAACAATATACAGAATCTTTTAAGTGTTCTCACCATGATTTTAAAATATTTTTTTCCATTCCCTTTCCAGCCCTGGTGTCGATGTATTACCACTGTCTACAATTATTTTGTGGTGACCAACTTCTTCTGGATGTTTGTGGAAGGCTGCTACTTACACACTGCTATAGTGATGACCTACTCCACAGATAAGCTGAGGAAATGGGTTTTCCTCTTTATAGGATGGTGTAAGTGACCTTTGTGCTTAAAATGGTGTTCTGTGGTACCTGGCATTAAAGTGTTAAAGTCAAAGAGAGGCAAGAATAAGTATTGTAAATCCCCCTGGGGTGAAATCTGGACCACTCAGTCTGAACAGACACTTCTGAGTGAGGAGCTGACTTGGAAAAGAGCCTCATTATCTGCCAGTGCAGCTCTACAGCTGTTGTTGGGACTGCTGAGGGATTTGTTCCTAGCAAACAGCCTTTAGCAAAGAGTCACACATCATCTCTGTGCTGTCCTTGGGGCTACTCAAAGACTCAGCTGTGGCAGTGCTGCCTTTGGGGTGCTGTGGTCAGTTACAGTTTCTGAGGTCAGAAAGGGATGTGGAAAAACTGGAGATTGTCCAGCTGAAAATGTGATCAGGGATCTAAAGGAGGTGAGCTGTGATGTGAAGCTGAAGGAGCTGAGCTTCTTTAATCTGGCAGAGGAAGATGAGGAGGGATGTGTTTGGTACCAGGAGTGATTTGAAAGATAATTACAAAGGTGTTGGAGCCAAATTCTGCTTGGTAATAGCAGATGTTATAAAAAGGAACAATATCCATGGACTTCAGACTGGGAGGTTAAGCTGGATGTTAAGAAAACAGAAAATGTACCAGGAGAAGGTGGAACACTGAAACATGTGACTTAAAAACTGTGAAACCTCTGACCTTGGGATTATTAAAAATTCTGCTAGGCTAAGCCTGGCTGAGGTGAGTGAGTATTGATAGCTCTGCTCAGAGCAGGAAATTGGAGCAAACACCTTCAGAGGTCCTTCCCAAACCAACATCTCCATGTTTTGAATTCAGTCAGGAGATGTTTGGCAGATGTTTGTCCAGTTTAGCAGGACAAGCCCCCTGCAGGCAGTTTGTTCACTTGAATGAAAATCTGAGGTCAACCAGAACTAGTGAATCTAGCAGTTCTTTTCTGTTGAAGGAAGAAAGGTGGAAAAAGGTCACCAATATTTTCTTTTGTGAAATCAGAATGACATTTTGTTCAGAAGTGCCTCTCCCTCTCTGCAGAAGTAATTGGATTGCAGTTCTGAAGGCAGAAACAGCCTTTGAAACAAAATATGTAATTCAATCCAAAATCAAATGGGAGGAAAGAGGAGTTGTAGTAGAAAGAAAATGTTTCTCTGGGGAGTTGATTCAATTTTTTTCCCCAATAGTTTTCAATTCTCTTTGCAGACTGGAAAATCAGCTGCTTACACAGCTCTCACAGACCCACTGACTGGTTTGCCCCTGGTGTTTTCACTCCCTGCCTCTGTCAGAATCCCCTGTGTGTCTCATTACTAATGTGGGAGTGCTGTGAGCTGAATAAACCTTTCCAGCCACCTTTTGGGTGCATTCTGACTCTGCTCTGCCTCCTCATACACATTTTTTAACCAGTCTTATTCTCAAATCCTTATTCTTTACTTCACAAGGAAAAGTAAAATGTTTTCCTTCAGGAGAGAGGACATTGCTCCATTTTCTCTGTCCTTTCCTCCCAAGAACTTGGAAAAATGAGTGCACCAGACCCTTTGAGTCCGTGGTGAACAGGATGAAACAAAACAACCATTTGAAGGGCACAGGATCCACCAGGGATGATGGGGCAGGAGATCAGAGCTGCTGTTCTCCTTGCTGAGGTTAAAAATGACTCCTCAGCAACTCAGCCCCATCCCCTCTGTGTTATGCTTCTCTTTC